TATTTTGTCTGATGTAAGTATAGCTATCACTGTTTTCTTTTGGTTTCCATTCACGTGGCATATATTTTCCATTCCTTCACTTTCAGAGTATGTGTTTCCTTAAATCTGAAGTGTGTCTCCTGTAGGCAGCACAGAGTTGCGTCTTCTGTTTTTATCCATTCAGCGAGCCACTCTGTGTGTTCTCACTGGAGAATTTAAGGCCATTTCCATATAAAATAATTACTGATGGGTGTGGACATACTATTGCCATTTTATTCATTGTTTTCTGGCTGTTTTGTATTTCATTTGTTCCTTTCTTCTTCTCTTGCTCTCTTCCTTTGTGATATAATGATTTTCTGTAGTGGTATGTTTAGATTCCTTTCTACTAATCTTTTGTGTATCTATTATAGATTTTTCCTTTTGGTTACCATGAGGCTTATATAAGACATCTATCCCAGCAGGGGTGAGTGCAGAGGGAGCAGTCAGAATTGTCCATCTCACAGTCTTTCCCTGAAAAAGGTCTATTTTCATACTTTAAAAGCTGCTGTCTAATGGTCAGGCTTCTAATTTAGCAGACTTCCAGAGGTTGACTGCAATCATCCTGGGAGAGTGGGGAAGCCAGCAGACACCACCTCTGCCTTCTCCCTCGAGCCCTCTCCAAATCACCAGCATCTCCATGGAAGGAGCTTGTACATACATCTGGCCCCCCAGCCTTTGTGGATGCCACCCAATGGATGGGCCCCTGGATTGCCTGGCTCTGAAAGCCAACGGGGCTTGTAGCCACAAGCCCCACAGCACTGTAGCAAACAATGAAGCAGTTCTTAATGCGTACAGGAACAACCTCTTCCATGGCTATATACCCAGGTCCAGTGCAGAGGAAGCAGGAGAAAAAAAGCCCGTCTCCAAATTTCTCCCTGGAAGGGCCCTAACTATACTGTTTCCCAGCTGCTGCCTGGGGGTTTGGCTTCCAAACAGCCTGCATCTAGGTGCTGAGTATGATCCTCCCCTTTGGAACACTTGACAAATCTTGGCAGACCCTCAACTACTGGGAGCCAGTAAGAACAAAGAAACCAGCTTGGACAATCAAAAAGGGTTGAGAGACAACCAAGAGCATAGGCCAGGCTGACTGATAAGGTTCATCTCCTACATGAGACCACTTTGTCAGGACTGTTAGAGATAGCTGTTTCATCTAATGTGCAGAAACCAACACAAAGAGTCAAGGAAAATGAAGAAACAAGGGAATATGTTCCAAACACAAGAACAAGGTAAAACTCCAGAAACAGACTTTATGAAATGGATTTACCTGATAAAGAGTTCAAAATAATGGTCATAAAGATGCTCACCAAAGTCAGCAGAATAATACAATAACAAAGTGAGAATTTCAACAAAGAGATAGAAAATATCAAACAGAAATCACAGAGCTGAAAAATACAATAACTGAAGTCAAAAATTCAATAGAGGGGTAAAACAGAACACTAGATCAAGCAGGTGAAAGATCAGCAAACTCGAAGACAGAGCAGTGAAATTCATCCAGTCAGAGAAGTAAAAACAAGAAAGAATGAAACAAAGTGAAGATGGCTTAAAGGACACCATCAACTGGACCACTACTCACATGATGGGGTCTCAGAAGGAGAAGATAGAAAGGGGCAGAAAGCTTACTCAAAGAAAATGGCTAAAAATTTCCCTAACCTGGGGGGAAAAAATCAACATACAGATCCAGGAAGCCCAGAAGATTCCAAATAAAATTAATCCAAAAGGACCCACACCAAGACATATTATAATTAAATTGTCAAAAGTTAAAGACAAGAACAGAATCTTAAAAGTGGCTAGAGAAAAACAACTTGTTTCACACAGGGAACCCCCATAAGACTATCAGCAGAAACTCTGCAGGCCAGAACAGAGTGGCACAATATATTCAAAGTGCTGAAAGAAAAAACTGCCAACCAAGAATACTCTACCCAACAAAGTTGTCCTTCAAAATGGAAGGAGAGATAAAGGATTTTCCAGAGAAGTAAAAGCATAAGGAGCTCAATCACTAGACCAGCCCTATGAGAAATGTTAAAAGAATGTCTTCAAGCTGAAACAAAAGGGTGCTAACTAGTAATAGGAAAACATATGAAAATATAAATCTCACTGGTAAAGGTAAATACATGGTTAAATTCAGAAAACTCTCATGTTGTAAAGGTAGTGGGTAAATCACTTATAAATCTAGCATGAAGGTTAAAGGACAAAAGTAATAATAATAAAAATAACTATAATAGTGTGCTAATGGATACACAAGGTAAAAAGATGTACATGGTGAAATCAGAAACATTAAATGTGTGTGGGGAGAGAGTAAAAATGTAGAACTTAAGTATGTGTTCAAAGTTATCAGCTTAAAATACTGTGAGAAACGTAAGATGTTCTTTATAAAAAACTTATATGAGATTTTACCTTGATACTTTTATGTTTCTCATGTTTATGTGAAATTAGTTTTCCTGAACTTCTAGAAGGTGGTATTCAAGGTAGTTTTTCTAACATTACAGAATTCACTCCTCTGTTGTTTTCATGTAATGTTAAAAAATATGGTGGCTTGCTTTCTGAGATCTCTCAACTGTTCCTCTCCCCATCCTTACCTGGACCTTCTCTTTCCTTCCCCTTGTGTTTATCTCAATTTTACCGATATTGCTCAATTTTGATGTTACTACTATTCTATTCAGTTTTGTCTCTACTCAGTGTGGTACCCTGCCCTGGTAGAGCACTTTAGCAGGTCCTTTCCAAGAACTCTGTGGAGCTAGACTGCTGTAACCTCTTCTGTCTTTACCATGGACACAGTGGACTTGCCTGATATTGGAGTGGGCAACCGCTCAACCTCTCATTCCAGCTGCTACTCTTAATACAGTCCACCACATTATCTAGTAAATAGTTGAGGCTATTTTGAAGGTCTCCTGCTTGAAGTTCTATGAGATACCCCATTCATTCTCTCTGCTTACTTTTACATAGACAGTAACACTATGGATGTCTTCTGGCTATTAGTGGCCTGCCCTGACCTGCTTTCATTTCTAGATGCCTGAAGTTAGTTTTATGATATGTTTTTGGATATGCTATCTAGTTTCACTGGTTTTTGTGTGGGTATTCTGAGGGAGTTTTTTTTTAAAAAAAATAAATAAAACTATGACTTGGGCATGTTTACTTTCTAGCATCCCTCTCAAGGCCAAATCTGAAGTTCAAACACAACAATTATGTCTTTATACTCATCATACACTTATTACCTTTTTTTTTTTTGTTAAAGATTTTATTTATTTTTCCCCCCCAAAGCCCCAGTAGATAGTTGTATGTCATAGCCGCACATCCTTCTAGTTGCTGCATGTGGGACGCGGCCTCAGCATGGCCGGAGATGCGGCGTGTCGGTGCGTGCCTGGGATCCCAACCCGGGCCACCAGCAGCGGAGCGCGCACACTCAACCGCTAAGCCACGGGGCCGGCCCCTCACTTCTTACTTTTTTTGACATTTATTTCTAACTGTTTTTAAACCATCTTGTTGTTAAGTCATTTCATTCTTTTTTAAAACAAGGCAAAAAATACTCCAACTCCATGATTACAAAAAGTTTATTTTAATAAGTTCTTTAAATCTTTCCTGGTCTTCAATACTTCTAAATGCTTCCTTGTTCATAGTCCAGATAACTTACAAATGTTTATACTTCGAGAAATTCCTTCAACTACCTAAGGCTCACTGTTTCTAGTAGGGTCTTAGAATGAGACCTCCACCAACCCAAATAATCATTCAAACACAAGAACATAAATATAAACTGTCTTTAAAACATGAACATGGGAGCGTGATGGGTTTGCAGGCATCAGCTGAAGACTCAGTCTACTGCTCGGGGCAACTGGGAGGCATGAGAGGTGGGCACAGGACCCAGAAGTTGGGCCCAGAGGCACAGGTGGCACCTGCTCCACAGGACCTGCATGCCATGGAGTTGGGGGTGGGGAGGAACGCTTCACCCATGGGCCACTCAAGCCACAGCACCAGGATCCCTTTCCCTGAAGTGATGCCTTGGAATCGATCCCTCAAATACCCAGAGCTATGGACTTACTTCCTTTCTATAACTACTCGAGGCCAACTGATTTGTAGAAAATAATGGTGACACCTCAATTTAAAAATACATAATTTGGGGCCCGTTTTCATGTATCTGACAGAACAACCAACTTGCCCATTTAAAAAACAATCAAATAACTAAAGAAAAAATATATACGAATATGATCTGAGCAGAAAGTCCATTTTTATGTATTATAACTTTGTCTTCCTTGAATACTGGGGTGTAGCATACATGCAGTAGGCTTTCTTCTACTCTAGTGGCCAACAAATTACAGTTCATTGGCTCACTGTATGTTTTATAAATAAAGTTTTACTGGAACACAGCCATGCCATTCCCTTACGTGTTATCTGTAGCTGCTTTCACACCACAATAGCAGAGGTTAAGTACTTGCAACAAGGATCATATGGCCCACAAAGCCTAAAATATTTACTATCTGGTCCTTAACAGAAAAGTTGGCCGATCCTGCCCTAGTCTAGAGATTTATCAAACAAGCCTCCACGAGCAGCTCCGGGCGGCTCTATAAGTAATTCTGAGTAGAATGACTTTGTTGTATTGGGTGTCCAGCACATCGTAGAATCTTTAGCATTCCTAGCCCCCAGGAACTAAAATGCCAGTAGCACTCCCAGTCCTTGTGTTAACCAAAATTCTCCACACATTTCCAAACACTCTGGGAGAGAGCAGAAGTACTATCTCTGGTTGAGAACCAGTGAAGAAATAAATTAGCTCAGAGTAAAGAAGGAGAAAATATAATCCATAAATTCTAAATGCTACCAAGATAAAAGAGGTAACTATGTTTCTTATTTAAGAGCAAACTGAAAGTCTATTCTTCTTCCCCTTTGATACTTAGCCAAAAACAGAGTAACTTATTCTTAATAAAATTAGGATTTATAATTTGATTACTATTTCAAGACATCATGGAGTTTATAAATTTATAAGGCAATCTTACCTATTTGTTCCATCCAGATTTGATTTGTGGATGAAATTAAGTTTTGCATCGGCCCAATAAAGCTTCCGTTCCTCATAATCCAAAGTCAGTCCATTTGGCCAGTAAATTTCAGTGTTTATTATAATGAAGCGACTTGAACCATCCATTCCAGCACGTTCTATCTTTGGTACTTCTCCCCAGTCTGTCCAGTACATGAATCTAAAAACCATATAAACAATAAAACCATGATATAAGCAGGTTAACAGCCACGTATTCTATAACTATCACTATCAAATAAAGAAAGCTCTCTCAGAACACTAAAACTGGAACCCTTAGAAATTATTATCTAAATTTTAATAATCTACCTTTTTTGTCACCACCATGATAATAACTGATTCAGGCAAGCATTATCACAGATGCAAAAGCCATTTGACCAAAGTTTACTGGGAAAAAGGATATTTACATTGTCTGAATTTATTTCCCTACAGATTACTTATTAATGACAGAGGGGAAAATGATAACATTAGAAGAAGTAAACTTGGTGGACACCACCTTAACCACATCATCAATAAGGGAACAAACTGGCATCATATATGTGATGTACTGGAAAGGACACACCATCTTTTAGGTAGATTCTGCTATACAGTATGCCTGCCAAAAGATGCATAACCTGAACCAAATTATGAGGAAACAGAACCAAATTGAGGAACATTCTAGAAAACAACTGGCCTTTGAAAATATCAATGTCATAAGAGTCAAAGAAAGGCTAAGGAATTGATCTAGATTAGATGAGAATACTACATAAAGTGCATGATTCTAGAATGATCAGTTGGGAAAAATGCTATAAAGACATTATTGGGAAACCTGCCAAAATTTGCTGGGCTGTCAATTATATAATAGAAATGTACTAATGTTAAATTTTCTAAATATGATCATTGTCCCGTGGTTAAAGCATACATGATTTCATTGTACTATTTTTATTTCTATTCTACAAGTTTGAAATTTTTTCAAAATAAAAAGAATAGAAAGTCTGAATAGTCTCATTCCAGAGGGAAAAAGAGAATTTTCCTTGATTTAAAGGTAAAGCTCTTAATGTGTTATATTTCAATTAAAAGCATATTTTTAAAAAGTTAATGAGGGTGCTATGAACTAGATATGAGGTACTCAATAAACGTGTTGAAACACAACTGAAATTCAGGTATAAATTTTACTCAGAAAATTAACGGAATGGTGCAACTGGAATGATTCTACTTGTGCATACTGATATTTCACATTAACTGCTTACTCAAAAAAATGATGGGAAGAGAATATCAGGTGAGGACTGAAGAGACAGTCACGCGCTGCATAATGACATTTCAGTCAATGATGGACCACATACACAACAGTGGTCCTATAAGATCAGTACCATACAGCCTATCTGTCTAGTACGTTACACATCTAGATTTGTGTAAGTACACTCTATGATGTTCATGCAACAACAAAATCGCCTAAGGACGCATTTCTTAGTAAGCATCCCCGTCGTTAAGCAATGCATGACTCTACTTCCTAGATACAAATCACTGTGCTTTTATTATCTCAAGCCTAATAGAAACATTATGAAACATTATTTGTCCATCATAATACTTCAGAAAAAACTCAGAAAAGTTAGTGCATTACTCAAAGTCACATAGCTAATAAATGCAGAAGAGAAATTTGAACTTATATCACTTAGATTCCAAAGTCAATGCTTATGCCACAAGTCGGAGCCTTGATTTGTAAGGAATAAAAGGCAAAGCGCACCGGAGATTGATGATGGTGATTAGATACTGTCCAGAATGAGGGGCAAGGGAATGACCAGAGTCACACCAGATAAAACTATATAGGAAGGCAAACCAGACAATTTTAGAACATGTTAAAATTTTTGTTTTTTATTCTGAAAGCAACATAAAGGCACCTGAAGACGTTTAAGATTGAAGGTGAAATGACTGGCTTTGTGGGGGTTTTTTTGAGGGGATTAGGGGGGCAGTGGCTGAAGTGTAGAGATGGACTAGAAGAAGGCTAAAAGAAAAACAGAGAGGCCAGAGCTCCCAAAATGGCTCTGTGAAGAACTCAGCAAATTCTCTCCCCTAAAACCAATAAAAAAACAAGAAAAGATTGTCAAAAATAACTGAAGTCTCTGAAAATTGATCAAAGGGCACACAAAAAGATGAGAAGCATTTATTCAAGAAAATCTATTAAATCTCAGTAAGAATTGTGGTATTTCACCTAAAGGTTATTTGCATTACTATCCACACTGCTGGGTTTGTGGCAAAGACACTCTGCCCTGAGCAGACATGGCAGGCCATAAAGATTGGCACCCCACCCACACAAGAGGGGGATGACTTTACTTGGAGCAGGTAATGGAAAAATCTATGCCCAAGAATGTTGTCAAAAATAAGAGTGTTCTCAATAGCAAACAATCAGAGAGGGCTATTATCCCAGCAATATTGGTTGGGACAGGCAACAAATGGCAGGCCAGACAGAAATTTAACAGGGAGATCCTGGGAAAGAGACAGCCAAAGAGGGCCTTATGTGCATATTTATCCTTGGTGGTCAGAAAGGCTGTGTGCATGCACAAGGCTGCTCCTGCTCAAGAGATATCAGAGAGAATTCTTTGAAGACCAGTCTCTGGCCGAATGTGGGAAAACTTTAAACTTCCTAAAATTTGAAAACATTCCCCAAACTACAAACAGATTCAAAGAAAAATGGTGAAGCACTTACTGGTTCAAGGTATTTCAGAACAACCTCTAATCAACGATTAGCAGACCAATAAGATATAGTGACCTAGGGGCAACCCCTAGAAAGCCAGGCTTAAAACTTCTAACAAGAAAAAAAATTTTGAGCAGTGACTTCAGAAGCAGCACACTGAGAGGGAAAATACGCCAAAGAATTAGTCCAGGCAAGTCATTAAACAAACAAAAACAACAGCAACAAGCCAGGGAAAGGTCAGAATACACATTTGCTATAAGACATTACCTAACATTTCTAGTTTTCAACAAAAAATTATGAGACATCCAAAGACACAGAAAGTTTGACCCAAGTATGAACTTAGCAGACAAGAACTTCAGAGTTGCTATTATAAATATGTTCAAAGAACTAAAGGAAAGAATGTTTAAGAATTAAAGGAATGGATGATGATGACTTATCAAAGACAGAAAGTGTAAAAAAAAAAAGGAAGAAATTCTGGAGTTGAAAAATACAAAAACCTAAATGAAGAATAAAATGAATGGGCTTTCAAGAGCAGATCTGAGCTGGCTGAAGAATCAGCAAACTTGAACACAGAGCAAGAGGGATTATCCAATATGAAGAGCTGAAAGAAAAAGGAAGGAAGAAACATGAGGAATATGTGGGACACTGACATACACATAATGGAGCACCAGAGGATAAAAAATTGGGAAGGAAAAAATCTCAAATAAATAATGAACAAAAACTTCCCAAATTTGATAAAAAATATGAACCCATACATCCAAGAAGCCTAACAAACTCCAAGTAAGATAAACACAGAGATACATAACTATACACATTAGTCAAACTGCTGAAAGACAAAGAGAAATCTTGAAACCAGTAAGAGAAAAACAACTCATCACATGCAAAGAAACCACAATTTGACTAATAGCCGATTTCTCATCAGAACAATGAAGGGCAGAAAGCAGTGGGATGACATACACAAAGTGCTGAAAGAAAAAAAAATTCAACCAAGAATTCCACATATAGCAAAACTATCCTTCAAAAATGAAGGTGAAATAAAGACATCTCCACATAAACAAAGTGAGAGAATATGTGGCTTGCAGTCCTGCATTACAAAAGATACCAAAGGAAGTTCTTCAGGCTGAGAAGCAGCAACATTAGATGTTAACTCAAATCCACATGAAGAAGCAAACAGTACTCATACAGATAATTATGTAGGTAATCATCAAAGACAGTATAAATATATATTTTTCCTTTTTCTTCTCTTAATGGATCAAAAAGACAATTGCACAAAAAAGTAATTATAAAATTGTATTATTGGGCTTATAACATATAAAGATACAATATATACGAAAATAACAGCACTAAGGAAGGGAAAGGGGAAGCAACAATGAGGCAAGGAAATCATAGCAGAAATTAACTCAAAGCCACAAGACAAAATAAAGAGTACCAGAAGTGGTAAATACGTAGGTTAACATAAAAAACTTACAGATTTTTTTCTCAGTTGTTCCTTATCTACTTTTGTGTGTGTGTGTGTGAGGAGATCAGCCCTGAGCTAACATCCATGCCAATCCTCCTCTTTTTGCTGAGGAAGACCGGCCCTGAGCTAACATCTATTGCCAATCCTCCTCCTTTTTCTCCCCAAAGCCCCAGCAGATAGCTGTATCTCACAGTTGCACATCCTTGTAGTTGGTGTATGTGGGACGCGGCCCCAGCATGGCGGGACAAGCGGTGCGTCAGTGCGCACCCAGGATCCGAACCTGGGCCCCCAGTAGCGGAGCGCGCGCACTTAACCGCTAAGCCATGGGGCCGGCCCCATGTTCCTTATCTTCTTTAAAAAATGTTAAGACTTTCCAGTTCCTGCACTATTCTTACATGCACAATAAACTCTTACTAAATACCAAAACAAAACAAAAAAACCTATAAGACTGCTTAAAGCAATTATTATGACACAGTATTAGTGGTTTTATAACATACAGACAATAATATATGACAGTAGCAAAACAGAGAAGGAAGGAAATAGATCAATACTGGAGAAAAGTTTCTCTATTTTATTGGAATTAAATTAGCATTAATCTGAAGTCCACTGTGATTAAGATAGATATTATAATCCCTACAACAAATACTAAGAAAATATCTCAAAAATTACAGTTAAAAATTCAACAAAAGAATTAAAATGGTACACTAGAAAACACCTGTTTAAAAAAGGAGGCAGTTAAGTTGAAGCAGAGCAACAAAAAGACAAAACATAAGGAAAACAAACAGCAAAATGAAAGACGTAACTACACTCAAGTAAATAACATTAAAATATAAATGGATTAAAGATTTCAATCAAAAAAGAGATTGTCAGAGGACAGAGACAACAGATATTTGGGAAGGAAAAACTGACAGGACTTGGCTATGAGGGGTGAAGGAAGAGTAGCAATTGAGAATGATTTCTAGGTCTCTGGACAGAAAATGATGCCTTAAAAGAAGATAAATAGAATATATACCAAAATAAATACACAGCTATT